AAAAAAAAAAAAAAAAAAAAAAAAAAAGAGAGAGAGAGAGAGAGAGAGATGGGCTCACTTTTTGAATGAAATCAATGTAGTAGAGAGCTCCATTCTTAAACTGGGTTCCACCTCCAGGAAAAGTAAGGTATTCACCACTTGCTTTGACCCAATTCTGGTGGCCCTTGACCTTTGCAAGCTTGATGTGAGGAACATTATTGTACCATATCTGCATCATCACATTCACCGCAAAAACAACATATTACAAGCTCAAGTAAAACAACAAGTGTTTCTCTCTTCATTTAGTACACAAATTGACCTACCTTGTCCCTGCTTGTTGGCCACTTGACCGGTCGTTTATACCCTTCAGGCAGAGGAACAAGACATGTGGGAGGCTCATCAGGGCAGTGCCTCTCTCTATGTTCATAGTGCTTTGTACTTGGAAGATTTCTTATAGCTTCCCAGTTGTCCAAACAAGGAATGTAGTCCGGTCCCGCCGTGACATTACATAGCCTCCACGAAATGCCATTTCGGTTATTGTTGGAGATTGAATTATGTTGTGATCTCTTCTCATTCTGTGACTCCACAGCTTGAGTAGACCATCCCCCATTATTCTCAACTCTGGTTTCCTTCAGAAGTTCTGAAGCCTCGATATCGCCTTTTGCCTCGGGTTCTTCCACATTATCATGGGAATCACTTCCCTCCTGATGAGTTTTCTGTTCAACATTCTCCTGATCAGCAAAAGGTAGGCTAATCTGCTTTGTTTCATCACCAATCTCCTCTCTGATCTCTTCTGATTCGGCCCTCTCACTTTCATCTCTTTTCTCATTGGAATCACTAGCAGATTCTACTTCCACTGATATTGGCGTTTCTTCTTGACTTCCCTCGGATGTTTGAGACTCATCACCAGAAGTGTCTTCAAATTGCTTGGGATTGTCATCAGCAACGACATGTTGTTTCGTCACATCATTTACGGTGTTGTCCAAGGATGGTACTTCTTCTTGATCCTCATCTGGGACTGTGGATGACATGAACACCCAAATCCCAACTAAGCAAAATGCAACAAACACAACAACACTGATTGTTGAACAACAATTGGATGATTTCCTCCCTTCTACCCGGGTGTACTTCCCTAAAGCCATGATTTTTATGTTAATTATTCACAAACCTGAAAAGGATCAGTCATGAATAAGTTAGATATACCATTCACAATAAAGTTGAATCAATTCGATTACAGAATCAACTCTTGAGAACTTCACCATGAAATACTAGTTAAAAGTGATTTTTTTTTTTTTTGCTAAAAGAAAAGGTGGGCATTTCCTCAGTAACTTTTTATCTGACGCTTCCTCTACGAAATTCAGTAAAAAGGAAAGAAAAAAAATAATCTCAGCTTTACTCTGAAGAAAGAGGAATCAGATCCATGGTTTAAGGAAAGAACCAAAAAAGTTCAGTACAAAAACTCACAAGATTAAACTTTTGCCGTTGTAAGTTCAAAAGAAAGTGTTTTCAAAGTGCTACTAGAGAGCTCAAACATAAGCTAAAGCTAATTCACAAACGAAATCTTCCATAACCAATAAACAGAGGAAAGCACAAAACAGGCATGAGGGGTAATGAAGCATAGACAATAAAAAGAAAAAAGTGAGTCAAAGTAGAAAATTTTTCGTGGGTTTTGCATGCTCAAGAAGAATATACATTGAAGACAGTATAAGACATCTTACTTGGCTAAGACAATGCAAGACCTTTTTTTATGAGATTATTCCATTTCCTTTGCTTCCCAATAAGCAGAGAGCTCAGCTGGGGGTTTATAGCTTCTGTTTATGTTCTTCTCTTACGTCGGTTTTTATTAACATGATTTTGATTTCCATGGTAGAAACCTGAAAAGTGAGAAAATGCGTGTGCTTATGATTTTGTTTTTATTAAGAGATTATTTTTAATATAAAAAAATATATTAATGTGTTTTTTTTGTTTTAAAAATAAAAAAAAAATAAAAAAAAATAAAAAATGATTAAAATTTATTTTTTATTTTTTTAATTTTATATTAAATTAAAAAATTATTATTTATTATTTATTATTTTTATTACGTCAATTACTGTTGTAAAGACGTTTTTATTTTTTATTTTTTTTAAAATATAAAAAATAAAAATAAAATCAATTTTAATTTATCTTTTACGTGTGTCTGTTGCTCAGTGGAATCCATACACCAAAGGTCCAAAACCAGTGTACTATGTTTAGTGGAGCCGTAAAGGTGAAAAAAAAAGAGGATCTTTAAGGAGAAAATCAAACGAGAATAGTTGTGTAAAGTTAATGTTGTTAAAGTAAAATATGATTCTCATATGATATCATGATTTTATAAGTGGAGCTTTTATTTTATCACTTACCATAAAGTTTTATAAAATAAAATTATGAGTTATCATGATTTTTTTATCACTATTTTTAAGATTAAGGTGAAGAGATTTTTAAATTAAAAACTTTTACTATTTAGATGAACGGACAAATAAAATTAATTGATTAAAAGATAAAATAATTATCCCTCTATTTTTTTTTTGTTTCATTCCTTATCTTCATTACTAAAATAGAGTGTAAAACATTATTCCTTTCAAAGAAAAGTAAAACAATAAGGATATTAGTTGGGGAAATCCCGCGATTTACCAAACTATATGATGGTGAAAGATCAAAGAAGTCCATGAATATGAATATGAATATGAATATGAATATGAGAGAAAGAGGGAAATATGTCAAGACTTGAGATGAATTAAAATTAATAGGCCAATAGTTTATGTAAGTTAATAAATAAGTTAAATTACTATTTTTATCCGTAACTTGTCTGGTTATTAACCATAACTTGACAAGTTATTGTCCATAAATCACGGTTTTTGTCCATAATTTGTCTGGTTATGAACTATAACTTGATAAATTTATTCATAACTTATCTGGTTATCAACCATAACTTGACAAGTTATGGCCTATTAATTTTTATAACTAAAAGTTGATCTATATATTTCTTTAAATTTTTTATATTGGCCTATTTTTTATTATTTTCGTTATAATAAAATCATGATGAAGCATTTTCACCCAAAAAGTGAATCACGGACAAAGCACCGACACCCCACGAGTAGGAAATATCTTCTTTGCATAGGCCCCCATCCCATATGGTTCTCATTCCAAGTACCTCAATAAATGTTGCCATGAGGCTGGTCCCATACCAATTTTCACCAAAATGATTTCCTTCTGTCATTAGATCTTAAAAACACCTTTTGTGAGAGAATTCAGGAACTTTTTAAATTCATTTTTTTTTAGAAAAGTTAATATAGCATAATTAAAATCAAGAGTTTAAACCAATCATACGAAAGAAGTGCTTCAGATTGTGTTGTGTAGGCTTATAACATTAATTGTGTTAGAAAAAAATCAATCGAAACATCATATATTTGTTATATGTTAAAACGATTGACCTGTATAATTTGCTTAAATTAATACATTATACATATAACGGCCAGTCACAAATATAACTCATTTTACATGGATAAAAAAGATATTTTTATTAATATAAGAATTTATATTATTTCTATATAATAAATTGTTTAAACTTCGTGTCGAAATATGTATAATTCGATTGTAAATAAGATTAATCAGTAGAGGCAATTAAAGTTAATAGGCCAATCTAAACTAAAGATGCACCAAGTTCAAAAAAAAAAAAAAAAAAAAAAAACTAAATGTTCACCCAAATTATTAAGGAGAAAGAGCTAAATAAAATTTTCGGAAAATTCTTATGGTAAATATCATTTTTATAATATTTATGTTATGTTAAATAACATATTTACGGTAAACTTATTTTATGTCATAACCCCAAAGATGAGACCGTGATTATTGGGATTTAAAATTAACTTAATTAAACTGAGAAAAATACATATTTACAAAGTAGATATTAAAATATATTGCTCCGGAGTCTTTCTTTTACAAACAATATTTAAAACAATCCATAAAATCTAAAAAAAAATAATACAACTCTAGGACAATGTCGACCAATATAGTTTATATACAAAAATATAGTACATCTCATAATTAAAAACTGTAAATTCAAAACAAATGAATCTTGCGCCTTCAATCCATTGGCATCCACTTGTCGTGCTGTAAATATAAATTGCTAACTCTAGGGGGGGTGGTCTTAAAACATTGAAAATAGAAGAAAAATGAGCGGAAGACCCAGTAGGATATATTTTAGAAAATTAAAAGAAAACTTTATAAATAAAAAGTATACACAGTCCGAACAAATCATATGGAACTAAACATCCTTTTTTTTTAAGGGAAAATAAACCAAAATTCCAGTTACATCTATCAACAAGTAATCTATAGCTATGATAAATTACTTACAACCAATAGCAAGGCCATAATCCACCATAGTGGCCCGTCCGGATTTCGGGTCCTGCTCCTAAGGATACAATCTCCATATCCTGATATCTAGGCCATCAGTGGGCTTACGAGTTCGTAAAATATCTTACTTTAAGAAAATATATGTTAAAACCTTAATTCAGTTCATTATGATTTCTATAGTAATAATCATGCTATCTCCTTAAACTATTTTTCTTTAAAAAACATGTTTTAACTTCAAAACATTTTCATAAGCCAAAACTCTTTAAAACAAGCTAACCAGGATTTGAACAAGAATATCCTACCTCTTGGATAGCAATTCTACGGCTCGCTCTAACTTCAATGATTCCATTCAATTCGCCTCGATTTGCGTCCATGGTACCGGTAGACTTTTCAATGGAGTAGAATTGGCACAAACGGAGGTCACCGTTGCGTTTAGCACATTAAAATGAGTCAGGATATGGTCTCGGATCGAATAACGGAGGTCGGGAGGCTGCTGAACGGAAGCTTATCAGAATCTGGCCACCGGCGGCGGAGGCTCCCGGAGAGTTTTTTCGCGACGGACTTGGGTCCTACTCCCCCTAAATTGACCTTTTTGAGTTCAATGGTATGGTCAATTTAACCAATTCTGTCCTCTAAATGCATGGATTGAAACTGCCAACTCTGACATAATCTGGCGGCTCAGATCTTGATTTTCTAACTGTAGGACCTTGAAATTGGTTTAGAACTTTTGTTACCCACTTTCTTTTGAGTGTTTTGACACCAAAATTATGATGATCCAACGACTAGATTGTCGGAACCAACCTATAACACGACAACGACGGCGGCGAGCTCTAATCTCCAGCAATCGGCGGTGGAACCTCAAAATTGAGTTGGGGCTTTTGCTCAACATCTCGTTCTGAGTCTAACGAGCCCGACAGTGTCGCTCAAGATGACAGAAAGGGCATAGTTAGGCGAGGGGTGGCGGCGGCCGAATTTTAAGCTCAGGCGAGGTAGCTCCAATGAGAATCGAGGGATACCGTTAGTTGGGTTTTCGTTGTCTCTTCGAACTGAGTCCATAAGGAGCGGAATCACTCCGATCAGAGGTCAGAAGGAAAAGTTACGACGGTGAGAAACTTTGGTGGGTTTCGGACATTTCGCCTGCGATTGTAGCTGTTTTTGGTGGATGTGGAGGTCGTATGGCATGTTAACAAGTCTAGCTCGTCGAGAGCTTTTCGATGGTGTGGGTGGTGTCACGAAACAACAATAAAATCTCATCGGTGGTTTGTGGCCGGCGTGGAGAGAGAAGGAAAGAGAGAGTGAACGCAGAAGAGAAAGAAGGAGAGAAAAGGAGAAAAAGAAAGAAAAGAAAAGGAAAAGGAAAAATGAGCTTGGGTATTCTGTGCAAATTTAATGATTATACTTCAAAGCCCAATTTAAATAGAATATGGAATGGCCCACCATTCAAGTTCTGAAAAATTAGTTACCAACACTTAAAACTGTTCGAGGGACAGAAGCGTCAATTTTTAAAAACAATCATTTTAAATGAGAAAAGTCCTTTATGTGATAAATGTAATTGGAAATCTTTCACTGATATCGAATTAATTAACACTAACCATCAGATTAAATTAATTAATCTCGATTAATTTAACCGGATGTTACATTTTATAAGGATTCTGTAAACATTATCGTAAATATTTTAAACTTAACTACACTGGTTTTCCACTTTATCAATTAAAATATGAAGTATTATGGCTGCATTTAATATTACTTTTCACTCTCAAAATCAACTTTTGTTTGTAGCAAAAGCTGATTTTAGTGTTTGGTAAATCTCCTCAAAAGTACTTTTTGAAGAATCTACAGCTAAAATCAGAAGCAGCCCAAAGGTAACTTTAGCTTTTAGATTGTGTGGGAATCAACATAGTACATTTAATGAAACTTTCATAATACCCATAATACTCCTAATGAAATTTAAAATTTACAATCTTCTCAATCTAAAATTTAGACTCGTAATATAATATAATGTAATAACACAATAATATAATATAATATAATGCAATAGTAATATTGTAACAAATAATATCAAAATTATATTAATAACTCTAATATTATTATTTTATCATATAATATGATATTATAATAATATT